TATATTTTAACTATCCATTGTAAATAACGTGTTTTCTTTAGCGAAAGAACCGGAAAGGAATTACCTGGTATATATTGGAAAAAGAAAAATGTGTAGATTATTATTAGATGTAATGCAAGAAGGATATAGAAGGATAAATACATTTTGTTTATTGGCTGTTTATTAAGCTATGTATATGTCGATATCCGATTATTTGAAATGTACTTCAAGTGTATATTATTACAATATGTTATCTCTCGTTCAACATTCACCGTTTAACATTTATGCAGACACATGTCGAAACATAGCAGACGCAAGAATTTCATGTGAGCGCGATATTATTAGAAATTTCAACAGCATGGCAGAGACGAATGTTTTCCGAAGTGTCCGTAGGAACACTCTCACCTGATGGATGCTGAAGTTCTTTCGGGGGATGAAGCCTGGAAAATGATTTTGGTATAACTAAACATGTGGTGAGGCGGTCCGGTATAATATAATGAGAAAATCCACTATTTCGAGCAATCCGTGCGTTATTCCGTCGCACTACTTGGTTTAATTGTTACGCTCCGTGTAATTTAATTGGCGCGATGTATTAAGAAGATGGATGCAGATACGTGTTCAGCGTGATAGTTGAGCTACGCGATATACGTGTTATATTCTTAACGAAAACGTAGAAGGACACGTGCGCTGGGCCGATGCCAACGGCGCGCGGTAAATCTAAGCTGAACGAGAGAAGCTTTCGAAGCTGTGAAAGCTCGAGCTGATGATTTAAGCATTCAAAGAGCTCCAGCTTCAACTTTTGTCGAGCAATAACATCTAGTTGTCCTTATGAATATTAATCGCTTTGTCTGTGTCACCCGCGCATATCGCGTGAGGAAAAAGGAAGAGAGAGAGAGAGAGAGAGAGAGAGAGAGAAAGAGGGGGGAGAGAGGGGGGAGAGAGAAACAGAGAGAAAGAGAGACCGTAAATGAGAATGCATAAGGTAGGAAGTACAGAACGGATAACCCGCGCGGTCGTAAGGATAACAAATGATCCTGTAAATCATCTCGTTAAGAGCTAATGACCGACTTGGTACGTGCTAGGTTGGTTCTTCCGGCTCGTGGTGTCACTCATTTGGAAAGGTGTGCAAATCGGAAACAGGAGTCCGTCGAGCTCGTTTTCGGCCATAAGCACGGGCGGTTTAATTACGTCCGAGAATAGTTCGCCGGCCGGCCGACCGAGAGAGATTGAACGATTCTTCATCACTTACTTTCGGCCCTGCGGTTTGTCTTTACGAAGACTTATCTTCGTAAAGACAAACCGCATCTTGAGTCCGCGGTATCTTGAGTCTTGGGAAACGCGCATCGATCACTTGATTCGGGGTTCGGCAGACTCAGAGATATTTTTAATTCGAGGTAAAAATTTTAATCCAAACCGTAGATTGCTCCGGGAGAGCATTTTAGATTGTAAAGTGTCTGCAATATCAATGTAATAATTAGTGTAATATTCGAATTCGAATAATTCAAATAGGAATCAAATGCATTATCGTTTGCATCAGCTACAAAACAGGCCACCTGGTCCTGTATGTTTGAATCCTTAACTTGTAATCAACTTAACTTATAATTGATAACTTAATTATAAATTACTTTAAGTATTTAAATATATATTTCACTTTAAGATGATATTATAATATCAATATTCCCTTTCATATTAAAATCTTCCATCATTATTTGCATATTTAATAGTCATGTTAAATTTTTTAATGATTCGATTCGATTGCATTTGATTCGATTCGATTCGAATTCAAATTTAAAAAATGAGATTCGATTCAATTCGATTCGAGATAAAAATTCTTGATTTTTACACATCTCTAGTAATAATATAATATAAATGCAATGTAATAATATAATAATAATACAATAATATAAATGTATCAAGACATTAATGTAATTTGGATAATGAGCGACGAAGAATACATTTTGTCTACTGGCTGTCGGCAATGCGAGCATGTAATAAATCTTTAGCTCTTTTGCGCGGTATGTGAAGCAGTTTTTATTGCGATAGAATTTCAATTCGTCGAAAACTTGCAGAGATACATACATAAACTGGTGCGCGTAAAAGATTCCGCGAGAAAGAATGTAATACAAAATCGTACAATATTATATGCCATATCTAAACGAGAATATTCGAGGAGGACTTGTCTCCCTTTCATATTTCACCTACGTTAACATATTATTAAATTTACGATTCCAGATCCATTCGATCGGCGTTAAAAGCGTTTGTGAACTCACGGCGATACGGCGAGTTGCGCGTCCGCGTCAACTTTTGTTTGCGTGGTCGCGATTAAATTTGTATCTCGCCGCGCATGTCGGCGCGTTAATTGTCCTGTACAGTTTGTTAATAATCCCGTTCGGGAAACTTTTGCGTTTGTAACGCGCGCGCGGAGGCCGCTCTAGGGCAGATAATTGCGCGCGCCCGGTTAATTACGCATGCCGATTCGCGCGAGAAAGGTATTGATCGGACATTCGTGGGCGATTCGTGAAATTATATTCCCTGGAACGGCGATCCGCTAAAATGCGGGGTCTCCTGACTGATTGCGGGATCTCATAGTATATTCGTTAGAGCGTGGCGATTTATCGGCCGCGCGGGCGTTCGGATGAAACCCCCCCCCCCGCGGTAATTCTTCCCGCGACAAAGAGAAGCCGCGGCAATTTTTCTCAGCGCCTAATCATCCGAGTCCGTCGACACGTTTCGGTGATAAATTATGGCGAGTGGCCGCCCACGCGGCTCGCTTCGTCTTCGTTATCCGAGAACGAAAGCCGAGCAGTGCTTGAAAGAGAACGGCTTGGGAACGGCTCGTATCATTTGTATATACGCACCGTTCTGTGTCTTGCCTTCTCTCGTTTTCGCCTTACTCCCGCCGTTTGCACATTTACTCTTACTCCTCCATGCTCGGAGTCTCTCGTGTTCCAAGTAACGGAACGCTCGCGTCGTGATCGATTGGCGCCGACACGGCGATTAATTAAGTTTCTCTTCCTTATGCACGGGAAATAGGTAATATTTGAAAAGAGAAAAAAAAGAAAAACGGAAAAGTAGCTAATTACAGGCAGCTAGCGATGGTTAGCGGCGGCGACTCGAGATCAGAAAGTGATCGCATCCTTACAGTCTTGTGCTGAGGAACTCTCTTCGATCATAATATCTACGGGGCAATTCCGAAGGGGAGCGTCCGAACTTAAACCACCAGAACTGTGCTTCGCGAGTCGGTTACTTCCCGGTGGAAATTCAGTTTGGCCCGTGTTTGGCCAGCAATTATGCATGTTGAAATTATTGCAGCGCGATATACAGCCTGACATTGAATCGATATCGGCCGGTAATGGAATTGAATATTTAACTCGGCGATATTGGTTTAGCCACCATCGATTGTCGTTTTATCTGGCAATATCGGCGGCGTTACAACATCGTCGAAAAGTCGGTGCTGTCATATGCACCGTGCACGGGTGTCCAGTTGGTCCCATTGCAAGCGGAAGTGCAAGCGTCGCGGGTGATCCCGGCTGTGATTACGTTGCGTTACATGGCCGAGCACGGAGGAATAAAATGGAATGGCATGTTTCGCGCTGTGTTAAGTGCCGGATTTTACAATGAATCTACCCGCAACGGGTATTTTACACGCAATGCGGATTAGCTGTCAACATGTATCGATTTATAGGTCGAGCTGTGCTGATTGCAATTTCAACGGAAGCCATAACGTTTCGTCGTGTGCGCGTGCGAGCAACAAGCTCTTGGTTATTCTTCGTGAATGGTTTAAAAATATTGATGAAATTATATATATATATATATATATATATATATATATATACTGTATACACACATATAAAATTAACTAAATTACCTTAAAAATACCTTACTAAAAATTACTTTTACTATTATTAAGATAATTACATTATATATACAGGATGTCCCATTTTAATCCGGCCGGCTGAATAAAATTCGAGGATGATATTTTCCAGAAAAAAATGTCAGACAAATGTTGCTCAGTTCTAAGGGGGACATTCGATGCCATCAACAATTTTTACCTCGGGTGAAAGGTTCAAGGTCATTCAAGGTCAACTTTTTTTTCTTAAATGGGAACCCCTATTTTTCACATCGGCAATCGATTCTACGTAAAAAAAAATGAAACTTTTGTCTGAAGCATTTTTTTTTATAAGGCAAACTAATTTCACTTATTCAGCCTCTAAAATTGAAATTTTCAAACTTTCTGAATTTTTTACTCGAGAATGGTGGGGTTTGGGGGGAAATTGCGGAAGACAAAAAGTTCTTGGAATGCTGCAAAGAATTCACTCGAATTTTCGTATAGTTGATCGTGCACTTTTTTCCGCCAATGTTCTACCTGTCAGGAGGTACCTCGAAATTAATACAATTATATGCCGGCTATTGTGTCTAGCAGTAGATATGAATATATATTGTACTTTGAACTGTTGCTAGGCACAACAGCCATCATATATAAGTAGATTAGGTCTGAACAAAAAAGTCCTTTACCATTTTGTAAATAGGTGCACAAATTTTTACGTTATCAATTAAAAGAGCTTCTAGATATGGTCATTTTCTATCATTAATAACTTAATATCTATTAATAACTATTGCGATTCTTGCAAAATGGTACTCGACTTTTCTTCTCAGTTCTGATCTGATTAATCTTCATCTGATTTGATCTGATTAATCTTAACAATTTTTTGTTTCCAAAAGATCCTGGACACCCTGTATATATAATACTTTTGTATATCTATAGCATCTATAAATATATCTATAATTATAGAAATATAATTTATTTCTTCTATGAGGAAATTCAAGGAATATTTCATACTCTTGGTCATAGAGAAGTATCTTAAACCTGCCACATTGCGAAAGAGAGATGTCCGCTTAATCATGTTAGAATCTTCCTTTCAGCTGTATCCGCAGGTGGATTCCTTTAAAGATTGAATTACAGTATATACCCATTGGAGACTGTTTTTAAATTAATCTCGGATCTCTGTCTTTCGTTTCAGTGCCAGACCACATAAGACCGCGCGTGCACAGTCTACCGGAAAAAGCGTACAATCCCAGGGCCAGCGACGACCTGTATAGACTCAGAGCATTCAGTATCACTCACAAGGGAGTCGTGAATCGGGGTGATTCCATTATTTCCCGGCGTAGCAGGAGCAACACCTCTGTCAACAGCAGCAGGTGAGTCATCAGCGCTGAGATTATGCTCCATCATGCTCATCGCATGACGGGCTGAATTAACGTTATCGTTAAATTACGCTTCCTCCTTTTGTTTTACCGCCCTATGCTTCGCCCGCTTGGTATTTAAGCTGCTCCGCAGCTCGGTATTTACGTAGTTCGATACGACGCGGATAACTTGCGATATAGACGCGGCTGGCGGATTTGCTGCCGGATAAGCCGCCAGAATATATTGCCGGAAAATATATTAGCACGGTGTGTTATTTTGCGGCAGAGATATTGTACATCGGAATTCTTGCTATTATTTAAGACGCACGATGTATCTACTCGATATAGCTATAATTCCCACAGCCCTTAATGCACTTCAACGTCGTCACTAAATTTCCAAGAAAGTCAGCTTCTCGCCGAGTGGATATTCTAGGAAAATGAGGGATTTCGTCGAAATTTCTAGATGCAAAATACAGCGTCTATTTGCGCGGGCCGACTTACTTGTTGATTATCGTTGCTCAGAGATATAGCGGTTCGTCCGTAAGCTATATATTCAGTCGCAGGCATCTCGATAAACAAGACGTGAAACTGTTGCAATTTATGGTACATCCGAGTGATACTCAGTTTAATATCTTACGGCTGCGTTACGACGACGATGTCACTTAGCGCTCCCCTGATCGTCCTGCGCTTTCTACCACGCGACGCCGCGACGCGTGAACTGACTGTTGGCACGATGAACATGTGCATACTTAAATTCGCAAGTAGCGTCCCTTCGGATATAAGGAGGCTAAATATTGACTCCAGAAACCGACTACTTTCCTCGTCTAGCGTCAATATTGATTCTGGGAGTTGGATGAAACCAAGTATCTCGTTGGCTTGGCACACTCCTCTCGGCGAGAAAAAAGAGAAAACGTCGAAATTGAGAGCGAGAGAGCGAGAGGGAAAATGGTACGATGACACAAGCTCCAAAGCGCTGACGGAGGATCGATGAAAACAGTAATCTCAAATACGTGATGTTGCCGTCGACAACATTTGACAAATATTTTTCTTTTAACACCCCTAAAATCCTCCTCTCCTCTCTTTCTCCTCTCGACCTTTTTTTTTCCAGCTTCCCTTTTTGTTTAATTTCTCTTATCCTCTTTGTCTTTTGATTCGGCGTTGCCGTTTAAGTACGCAAGGTGAGGAGAAATTTTCTGCAGACACATATTGAGCGTCTGCCGTCTGAAACTTTGTTAGGTCGGCTCGACCCTTCCCTTTGCTGCTTCAAAGGAGAAGGCGAATCAATGGGATTTCTCACGTTTCTCTTTTACGCGTTAGAGGTATAATCTCAGATTATCTCGGAGAATATTATGTTCCAATTTTCAAAGCTTTCCGTCTTGTGGCGACAATACGAATTTTTGTCCATGGAATCGTGAGAAGTCAATTAAACCTACGTATTAAACATTATCGATAATATCGAGTAGCATTAATTTATTACTCCGTTACATGTGGGTTACACAAAGAATCCGATAACACGAAGCATTAATTCGCGCGACTCTCTTCGTCATAAATTATTTATGACGATATATATATATATATACCGTTGTAAGAAACTTAACGAAGTTAGAAACCCCTCGGAATAAATGAGTTTGCTTTATCTTTGAGATTCATTTTTTATTAGATTTAATTTCGATCGCTCCACTTTAACGCGCGTGTCAATTTATTTCTTACTGCTGGGCAGCTTCAGCGGCATTTCTCGCAATAAATCTCCGGCACTCAAATTTTAATGTCTCTTCACTTAGCAAATTAAACGGAGCGGGTCGCTTGAATTCGAGAGCAGGCTGCTTTACGAGATTAGGCGGAAATTGCACGTAGGGTCTCGCGTTTTTGCGATTGCTTCATTTTTGTTTGCGAATCGCGTCAAGAGAGCGGAATAACTCTCATAAATAAACTGTGACTGGAAAGGTTACGAGCGTGCGTCTTGCGAATTGGAAAAACCTTTTCGCGCAAAGTAGAGTCTGAGACAATATAAATATGTCTCACCTGGGAGCTTAGGGACCGTAGTTTCTCTTCTTAAGACATGTGCGTACTTAAAATATGCAGATGCGATTCCCCCAAGGAGAGATTTATCGAGTTAACTCTTTTGCGCGTATCCTGTGTTTTATGAGATGCTTTATAACGTAAAAGTATATCCGTCTCAACTGATTTTTTTCTTACGAAATTATAATTATGCAATTAAAAATCGCATTGAGAAAGGTATAAAAACATATTTCTTTGTTATTCTGTCCTTATTATTAATTTGCTATAAAGAATTAAAATTATTCATCATATTAAATGTTGATAAGGCAACGAGTATGAAAATATGCGGAGAATATTATATCGGTTATACAGGGTGAGGAAAAAGTATGGAAACCCTTAAAAATCTCAAAAGATATAAATTTTACAGAAGAGTGTTTCAGACAAAAGTTATAAGACTCAGAACGATGTATTTATCGATCTAGATCAGTTTGACCTTGAATGGTGTTGCCAAGGTCAGGTTAAGGTCAACTTATTTTTTTTAATCGAAATCCGCCTTTTTTATTATATCATCTTTTTCTACCAATTAATTTTAATAACTTTTGTCTGAAACATTTTTTCATTTGCCTAATATTTTTTAAGATATTTAAAGAAAATTCGGAAACTTTTTCAATATTTATCTTATGAAATCTCGCCAACTATTTGTCGGAAGAAAAATGCTATTAGACTTTTTTACTGTACTTGGTCTTAAGAATATATTGTTACAATAGCACCCTAACTTTTGTTAATTTGATGATTTTAAAATTTCCAAAAGTCAATAAGTTAACAAAAGTTAGGAAACTATTATAACAATATATTGTTGAGACCAAATAGAGTCTGAGAAAAACCAAAAAGGTCTAATACCATTTTTCTTCTGACAAATAGTTAACGAGATATCGTAAGTTAAATATTAAAAAAGTCATCAAGTTTTCCTTAATAAATATCTCAAAATATAATAGGTAAATAAAAAAAATATTTCAGACAAAAGTTGTTCAAATTAATTGGTAGAAAAAGATGATATAATAAAAAATGGAGATTTCTATTAAAAAGAAATAAGTTGACCTTGACCTGACCTTGGCAACGCCGCTCGAGGTCAAACTGATAAGATCAGTAAATGCATCGTTTTGAGTCTTATAACTTTTGTCTATAAAACTTATAAAACTATTCTATAAAACTTTCGAGATTTTTAAGGGTTTCCTCTTTCCTTTCTCCTTCCTCACTCTGTATAACTCTCTCTCTGTGTGTGTGTGTAATCGAACAATACACACAGTCAACAGACTTGGGTACTTGGTGATTGATGAAAAAGCAAAGTTTCCAAAAGTTGCTATTTGAAAAGTGAAGTGATTTATACATGTATCTTTGTTATATATCACTTCGGAGACAAAGTTTTGTTTCAGGGTGTTCTTTGACACTTTTTAATGTATACAGACGAACTTGACGAAGATTCGTCGATCGAATGGGATCTCTGAAGCATTCCAAGACCGACTTATTGGTATAGAATGATGACTGTATTATCTGATTGACTGTATTACGTCAAGAGCATTCTTATATCGAGTAAAATTTTCGTACAGTTTATTTTAGTCGAATATTTTCCTCTAAATATCTCTATCCTTCCGATAATTAATAAAATTTGATAATATTTCCATTTCTCATGTCTCTTTATGATGAAAGACGCGATTATTATTCATTAATAATAATAAAAGATGCGATCATTGTTTCTTTAATATCGAATTGCTGGCTTTGTCAATAATATTATATAAGCTTCTCCCCTCCCTTTCTAAATGTAAAGACCCATTTAAAAGTAAATATCTTAATTACGAAACAGCGCCGCGATAAAGTTTCACAATTAAATATCCAGATGTAATCTACCCTTGATTCCTGCGATAACGGAGACAGAGTTACCGAGTACGATGGGATGGATATTTATCGTAGAATTACGTTTTGGTGCACCGATAAGGTTACGGGCGAATCTCACGATAAAAGTATCTTGATAAATGACCTTTACAGGAACGAGATGCTTTTTGCGTATTTTGTTTGCTACTGAGAATGTTTGTTGTTTATTTCTCGAGGAGGATCGATCAATTTTTTTAGAGGATTTCCTCTTGAATGCTTCGATCGTGTTCTTGCTGCTGCTTGTTGCTTACAATGCATCTTGCTTCTGTTACAGACTAGCCTAGAAAAGAATTTTCTTCCTAGCTATCTATAATGTAATATATGATAAATTACGTATTCAAAGTAACTTCCAGGCTTCCCTCCGGCATTCAATCGTCCCTTAAAATTATATTCATAGCGTATGTTGTGAGGAAGCATCATACTTCATACAGTTATCTCTCAAGTATTCGATGAGAAAATGCAGATATTTATGATATTCTGACACAGTTTGGACGTAACAATTTAATTATTATTTTTAATCATCTTTTTGTAGAAATAAAAACAGTAGAGAAAAATATCGGTAGGTAAATCTCGATTTTTGCACATACAACGGGTATAAAATATTATAAAATAACGGGAAGTTGGTCGTTTTTGAGTTGTTGATCCAAGCAGGTCAAATCAATGGAAAGCGAATATTGAAGTTAATGTCGAAGTTTTGACATCAATATTCGCATGCCGCTAATTTGCCCGAGAGACTGATAACTGTAGCGGCTTTTTATCATCGTTACAGACGTTAAAAAATATTTTTAAAAAACGTACTTATAACGCGATTTCGAAGTTATTAGAGTCTGTCCACACAAGAAACTTTTTTTCTCGGATGTATTTTTATTTGAACAATTTTGGGCTTTGAAGTCAAAGAGAGAATTAGCTGGATTGTTAGAAAAAGTAAACTAAATTTTTCAGAAATGACGATCTTTCTGCAGCATCTCATTAATTTAGTACAAATTTCAAAATTTACAATCGCGATATTATTTCTATCATTTGAATATTTGGTCATTGATGAGGAATGACCTTCGCGTCAAATATGAAAAAGCACTGCGCGATTTGCA